GGTTAAATGAGGTCATAGGGCAAAGCCTGGGGATTCGTGTCCTCATAAGAAAAGACACTGGAGAGTTCTCATTCTCTCTGACCTTGTATTCATGCACTGAGCAAGAAAGCAGCCTACTGCATCCCAAGGGGTGAGCCCTCACCAGGTAACAGCGCTGCTGCCACCTTGATCTTGGCCCTCCAGCTTTCAGAACTGAAAGGAAAACAGGTTGCTGTGGTTTAAGCCACCCCTAGTCTGGTGTTTTGTTATAGCAGCCCAAGAAGACTAACATAATTTTATAATTTTCTTTAAAAAATTTTGTTTCTAGGCATTTCATTATTTTTGTTGCAATTACAAATGGGGTTTCCATCTTCCAATTTTAATTAACCAGCATAGGTTAAAGCTATTGACTTTGTTATAGATTTATCTCAGGCCCTGGCAATTTCCAATCTTTCTTCTTCACTCTAGAGGGTTGTTTTAGTGGAAACCGTTGCGTTTTCCCGGGATATAATCACATCATCTGCAAACGGGAGAACCACTTTTCTTCTCTTCCAGTATGAACAGGCAATTTTATTTTCTTGCTTTATTATATTAGTTAAAAATCATATGGGATGGGGTGTGAAGCTCAGTGGTAGAGGGCTTGCCTGCTATGTGTAAGGCCCCTGGGTTTGACATGCAGCACTGGAAACAACCACAAACTAGAAAATACTGTTGAATGATTTTTTTCCCCCAGTACTGGGGAATGAACCCCAGAGGCACTCAACCTCTGTGCGATATCCCCAGTTCTTTCTATTTTGAGATAGGTTCTAAGTTGTTGAGGCTAGCCTCAAACTTGCAATCCTCCTGCCTCAGCCTCCCAAGCTACTGGGATTACACGCATGCGCTATCATGTCTGGTGATGATGGGATGTTCTTGACTTGAATTTTGACTGAATATAGTTTGACTGCTTTATAAATTAATGATATCTGATTTTATATATTTTGTCTTTTTTGTTAACTTTGTCATAGACAGTTTCCTTTTACTCTCACATTACTTACACTTTTTATTTTAGCACAATTTTTCTGAAATGTTCAGGCAAGGAAGGCATTTTGAAGTAAGACAGGAAACAGAGACACCACAAAGCAAAAGACACACTTGACTTCACACACACACCACTGCTTTTGCATGGCGAAAGATGCTATCACAAAGGTTAAAACCCAAACCAGATCAAATGGAAAGTTCAAAAGAGGAGAAAAATATTTGTAGACCATTTAGCACCATGTACTACCCCTAACATGTAAGGAGCTCTTGACAGATCAAGAGTAAGGAAGTGACTTAGCAGAACATGAGCAATGGATGTGAACAGGCTGCTTTTAAAAGAGGAAATCTGAAAAATCAATAAATAACAACCAAAGGAAGAGATATTTGAATGTGCACATTAAAAACAACAAAATTCCCTCCCATCCTGCATCTTGGCCCCAACTATAAACCTCAATAAAATTCACGGCCAGAAAAGGTGCAAGTAGGTGAGTGTCTCATGGGGGTGAGTGTAAATGATGAGAAGAGCTTTATATATAGTTGACAACGTCCATTGCAATTTAAAACGTGTGGCCCCACTTTTGAAAACCTACTCCACAGATTTAAAAGCTTGGGTTCGAACTGGGCACAGTGGTGCATGCCTGTAATCCCAGCGACTCAGGAGGCTGAGGCAGGAGGATTGCAAGCTTGAAACCAGCTTCAGCAACTTAGGGAGGCTCTAAGCAACTTAGCGCCTCTAAATAAAATATTAAAAGGGCTGGGGATGTGGCTCAGTGGTGAAGTGCCCCTGGATTCAATCCCTGGTACAAAAAAAAAAAGCTGTGGTTCATGGTATTTTATGCATAAATACATTTCAGTACTGCTTGCAATGGTGAAAAGGGAGAAACCATCTGAATGTCTGTTGATGGGTGAATAATGAAGCCCTGGTGCACTCTACTCTGGAATTTATTCATCTATTAGCATGAATGAAGTAAAATCTATACCTAGTGGTCTGGAGGGATGCCCATGGTAGTCTTTTAAAAACAACAACAGAAAAAAGCAACAAAGTCCTGGGTAAGAGCCTGTTTACTTTTGTTGCTAAACAATAGCAAAACTAAAAATTTCGATGCCTAGATTTGTGCCTGTTTGTAGGTACAGTGAGAAAGGGGTTGGGGACAATAGCAAGTAGAAGAGACGATTAGTTTTTCAGATCCTGTTGAATTATTTAAACTTGTATTCTTAGGTAATTAAAAATGAACAAAGAAAACTCAGAGGAGGAAGAAAAGGAGCACATTTCAGAAACATCAATACGTTCACCCAGTTGCTCTGAGGATTGAAAAGTTCATGGCTCGTATCTATTGATTATCCCTCCTCTTCCAACGGGACATGAGAAAAAACAAGGAGGGCTGGGACGTGGGGAGAAGTTGTCTGGGGGCTGCAGGTGCAGAAGTCCGAGGGCTGAGAGACAGAGGGAGAGGAGGGGAGATGGAGGAGGGGGGTGGGGAAGAGGGTCAGAGACAGATGGAGGCTGGGAGAGGCCGAGGGAGGCTGGGTGAGCCAGCTGGTGCTGGGATCAGCTCCATGCTATGAGAGGACGATGCTGGTCAAGGGGTCCTGAGAGGCTGAAAGAGGGTCACCTTGGGAGAGAACGGCTTTAACAGTCTCCCAGTGTTACCTGGGGCCATTCAGGAGACCCTGGGCCCAGAGGAGCCTGCTGGACCTAATGAAAACCCCTCCACGGGGCCTTCCCCTCCTTGTGCATGTCTGGAGCAGGTGGTGGCTGGGTCATCCATCCTCGCTCTTATCTAATTAGTGTCTACCCTGGGCTGCCCTCTGCTATGTGCTGAGGAACTGGCCTGTCAGGACAGACGTGGTCCTTGCTGACCCTTAGTGCTGTCACCTGTTTCTGCCTGAGCTCAGTCTGGACCCACACCACAGCTGAAGCCCCAAGTCCCAGAGTCCAGCAGACTGCCTGGCACCAGGTCCTGGATGGTTCCGGGGCTGGGGTGAAGGTAAAGCCACTCAGAGCCAGGGGATCACCAAGAGGACATCCAGTTAGCAAGGGACTAGGTAGGCCCATAGATGTCCCTGCCAGGGCTGCCGGCTATCTGCTTCCTGGAGCCCCAAAGCTAGGATGGCAGCCAGAATGGACGGAGACAGTAGCTTCTGGCAGCTTGGAGACTTTCCCAGAGGCTTCCACGACTTCATCTTGAAGCCATGCAAACTACTAGGAAGCCTCAGGGAGGGCTCCTCCCTGCCCCCAAGCCCAGCACTGCTGCTATAAGGCTCCCCAGGGCCTTCTGGTCTCCCACAAGCATCCAGGAGCCACCTCAGGACTCCTGTGAGAACATGGCCAGACCTGGGATAGCAGAGGACACACTCCATCAGAAAGCACAGACCCCGGCTTCTGCACAAGATAACCACAGGGGACATGGAGATCACCCAGGAACGGGCTTTGGAGCAGCTCAGGGACAGTCAGCCATCTGGGGTTCCCCAGTGCCCCTCTTTGCCCACCTAACATAGCGGCTCCCTTGGGGCCGAGAGCTTCCTGTGTCTCCTGGGCCCTGCCTCCTCTGCCTCTGCCACCAATTCTTCCCCCTGCCTTCACCCAAATTTGGTCCTTCTTCCCCCCACTGTACCTCCGTATCCCACCGTGGTCCCTCTCAGTGTGGATTCAGGAGGCCCCCTGAGCTGCCACAACCAGACAGGCCACCAGCTCTCCCCAACTGGCTGCCTGTGGGGTGAAACTTGTCAAGAGTTTGACGTGCCTGGCACAGGCCTGGCACAGAGGAGCCTGGTGGGGGGTGGGTATTGCCATCTGGTACCTCAGAGAGAGAACACGTTCCCGTGGGGGAGCCTCTAAGTGGCCTGGTCTGGCCTTGGTGCAAAGTTGGTAAGAAACATCGCTGATTCCAAGTGAGTGGGGCCACCGGCCTCCTTGCCCACATAACAAAAAGGCCATCTGTGTTTGTCCGGCTGGGGAGGTGGTGGGGGCTCTGCTCCTGCCCAGGGCATGTGTGGGTCTGTAAGCGCCTATGTATGCACATGATTGTGTGTATGTGCACATGTGTGTGTGTGTGTGTGCACACATGATTGTGTGTATGTGTCTGTAAGCCTGTGTGTGTGCTTGTGAGTGTGGGTGTGCTGATCTGGAGCAGATAGGATAATGATGACCCCTTGGGGTGCTCCTTAGAAGACGCTGTCAAGTCTAGTATCTTGGGGTTACCTCTCTCAAGATGAGCCCCTTACCCCTCTGGCTGCTGTCTCACTTAGGACCCTTAGACCCTGAGTCCTGGGCTGAAATGTGGTCACATCAGGGCAGGAGGGTAAGGGCCTGCCTTAGAACCCGGCTCTGCCACGCGCTAGCTGAGTCAGGTCCCCCTCTCTGGGCCACAGGCTATTCCTCTGTAAAACGGGGCTGTTAAATCCCTTCACTGACTATTGAAAACAAGCCTAGGAACAACAACAACAACAACAACAACAACAAACCCATCATAAAAGCTGCGGAGACCGCTCTACAGCACCAAGTGATATCCCAAGGGGACACACCCATGGCGAAGCAGCCATCACAAATGCCAAGGGCACTGGGCCACAAAGGTCTCTTGCTCATTAGGGCCAGGAAGCCCTTCTTGAGACACAAGATGAGTGTGGGGGAGAGGGGCACAGGCTGCCTGGGGAAGATACTGTTTTACATCTTGCAAGAAAACTTCACCTGACATTTTATTTCTGCAAAGATCTCTATGTCGCCGGCAGCATCCCTGGCCCCGAATTAGCACTTGTTTGGGAAACTGCCCCCAGAGGACCTTCCCACCACATCCCTGCACAGAGCGAGCAATACTGTGGGATCAGAGCTGCCCTCTCCCTTGGGTGTATGTGGGGAGCCCAGGGCACAGGAGGGGACGAAGCACAGCGTGACCATGTGGAGAGTGTAGTGGCCCCAGCCTCACACCCATGCCACGCTTGGCGGGCTGATGGCCTGCAGGTCATCCGCGGTGATCCTGGGAGAGAGGGCAACAGGGTCTTACCTCTCCCTCGAGCCCACGTGTAGACGCGGCTGGCCTCAGTGCTCCTGGGTTCTGGCTCTGCCGGCTCCACAGGCAAAGGTCGGAAGTGGGGGTCGTCAGCCCGGCCAGGGGTCTTCAGGGGCAGGATGTACTTGGGGAGTCCTTTGTAGAACCAGGCCCCAGACCTCTTCCAGACCTGTGTGGGGAGACATCAGCTTGGAGCATAAGATGCAGAGTCCCTGTGCTGAGCAATCACTGCCCGCCCGCCCTCTTGCTTCAGCCCCATGCTTTCCGGTTATGGGGGATGGGAGAGCAGAGAGCCATCAGAGTGGGGAGGGACTCCTGCCTCTGCCCTCCCTGGCCAGTGGACCAGGGTGGTCGCTTCCCCCTCAAGGACCCAGGACAAGTAGGAATAAATTCCACAGAATCTTTGCATCTGATTTAGGGACCATTCTCTGTCTTGCAAAGTGGTGATTTCAAGGGATGACACATTGAAGCATGGAGACATGCTTATGAAACTGTCCACTGCTACCATCTTGTCCTTTCCGGTTCCCAGAATCAGGAGACACCTAGCCACACACCCCCTGCCCATCCCCAACCCCTCCAGGGCTCTATGGAGTTTCTAGTAGATCTGCCCATGACAGGCTCCCTCGCTGCCAGGTGGCCTCACCCGCACCTTCTCCCTCTGGCCCCATGTCAGGGGCCACACTGCGCTGACCTGCTCAGCCACCAAACAGCTGTGTCTACCTTGCCCGCTGCCCACCAGACACGGGTGGCCTCCTTCACATCCTGCTCAAACCTCAGCTTCTAGAGGATCCGTTTGGTGGTCCCTTGGGTATTCTGTGCCCCCTCCCATGGAGCCACTCCTGTGTCTCATGTTTGTCACTGACCCTCAGAGAGGGGCTCAGAAGTAGCTACAAAGTTCCAGGCTTGGTTGGCTACCCCTTAAGCCATAGCCATTGGCTTCGCCCTCCTCTTCCTTGCCTTGATGCATCCTCCTCAGTGCATCCTCCTCTGGTCCTGGGTGCCCCAGGAACCCTTCTCCATCCCACAGAGCCCGCCACAGAGGTCAGACGATGCTCGTCGGGTCCCTAGCAAAAGCATGCTCCATCACCTCCCCTTGGAAAAGATCTAGGGCTGGGGAGGCAGCGAGAAGACATCACACTAAACCATGAAGTGGGACTTCCGGAGGCCAGGCAGAGCCAGGGAGCTGAGGATATTCACCCGCATCCTGAACGAGAATGACAGGGCAGGAGATATTTGGAATCAGGGACCTGCAGCCTCTTGGGACTCCTGAGGAGTCCCTCTGTGCCCCTATCACCCTCAGCAGGTCACTCAGGCTCCCCTCCTGCTCGCCCCTGGAAACAAGGTAGAATCAAAACAGCTTCTACACCCACTGTCTGTGTGTGGCTTTGGGTGAATTACTTAACCTCTCTGGGCCTAAATATTTTCATTGTTGAAGTGTGTCCAACAGGGCTGCTGAGAAAGTTGGGGAAAGCTCAGCCCAGTGCCTAGCACCCGGAAGTTGCTCAGTAGGGGCCACCTGCCTTCTTCCTTTCCTATGAAACTCTGGACAGAGTGACAAGAGGCTTAAAGAAAATCCAGGCTGTGCCACATCACAGTATTTGAAAGCCCTTCCTGAGGGGTTCTGCAGCAGGCGCAGAAAGAAGTCGAATCTCAGAGCCTCAGGTTAGAATTCAGAGCAGCAACTGAGATAAGGTCCCTAAACTCTTAATGCCTACTTCAGAAAACACCAAGTCCTCTCTAATCCCTTTCCCCATGGAGGAAATGCATTCAAGGCATCGAGTAAGGAGGGCTGGGAGTGTGTGGAGGACTCCTGTCACCTTGTCAGAGAAGGACAGACCTTGCCTGTTCTAAGCAGACAGCCCGAGTTTGAATTCTAGGTGTGTCACATGCCCAGCAGCTGCTTGATTTGGACATATCCACCTCCCTGACCCTCGGTTTCCTCATTAGTAGGTGGGACATGGGACAGTGCTCTTCTCACAGGGCCGCCAAGAGAATGGTGCAGGGAAGCCACCCCACAGCTCTGAAGCTCAGAATCATTATGCCATCTTCCTCCTCCCATCTGACAAACACAGCCAGTGGACCCAATCCCCTACTAGAAAGAAAGAATTTAAAATAGAATCTTTTCTCTGAGACAGTGTCTCCCACTCTCCCAAAGGCCCTCAGCTCCATGCTGATGCTATGGGATGTTAATAAGATCTAAGCCACAAAGAAGGAAGGAAGGAGAAGTATGAGTGAGTATTGCACCGACCCTGTATTGCACCGACCCTGTATTGCACCACTTCTCAGAGCCTCTGATCTGCTAAAGCACAGAGTTTTCCATCAGGGCAAAAGAACACACCCTGCTCCCACTGAGCCTTTCTACGCCTGCTGCAGAAACTCAGTCTCCATCCACTCAGCACTTTGGGGGGACAGCACTGTTATAGTCAGCTTTTTCATGGCCGTGACCCGACCAGCACAACTGTAGAGGAGGAAGAGTTTGTTTGACAGTTCACCGTTTCAGAGGTGTCAATCCACAGGCAGCTGGCTCCATTCCTCAGGGTGCCAGGTAGGGCAGGGACAATATGGCGGAAGAGTGTGGCAGAGGGAAGTGGCTTACAGGGTGATTAGCCAGCAGAGAGAGAGAGAGAGAGTCCACTTGCCAAATACAAACGTAGATACCCAAAGCCTGCCCCAATTCCCACCTTCTCCAGCCACACCCTCCAGTTACCACTCAGTTAATCCCATCAGGGGACTCATCCACTGACTGGGTTCAGACTCTCACAACCCAATCCCTTCTCTGAACCTTCTTGCACTGCCTTACATGGGAGCTTTTGGGAGACACCTCACATCTAAACCATAACAAGCACTAACTTGCTGAGTGAGCTGCATCTCTTTCTCCAAGTAGACGGGGTCACCTTTTGATGCTCTGGAGTGCCAGGCACAGGACTGGCAGGAATCACTCATGGCTCCTCCCAGTATCCCTGCACGGCAGGGACTGGTTTAATGCAATTCTTGAACAGCACAGATTTGTGGGATGCATGCTTTGTGGAGCCCCTTTGGACAGCATCCCGAACCCCTGGATTGATGCTTGTCCCCACCAAAACTTAGGTTCAACTTTAATGCTCAAATTCATGTGTAAATGGTATCCAGAGGTGGGACCTTCAGGAGGTAACTGGCACTGGATGAGTTTATAAGGGTGGGGTCCCCGTGATGCCATTAGCTATCTTCTAAGAGGAAGAGCTGGTCCGTTTGCTCTGTCTCACAGTGCGACACCAAGGCGCTCACCAGATGCTGGCACCATGCTCCTAGATTTCCCAGTCTCCAGAACCATGAGCCAAATAATTTTTTTAAAATAAACTACTTGGCCTCAGGTGCTTTGTTATTGCAAAATAAAATGGACTAAGGCAGTTGTGGATGCACATAGTCTAAATCCACAAAGGCAAAGTCTTCTCCCCTGAGGTGTCTGGTGATAGGAGTTCACTGAGGAAGCTTATGTTATTACTCCACTTTCCAAAGGGGAACACTGAGGCTCCAACAAGTTCAGCAACTTGCCCAAGGGCCTCAACCCTATCCCCCGGGGGCTCAGGGTCTCACCTGATGCAGAGCTGATGCTCACTGAATTGTGGTTGCAAGTAAATAAGTCCTCAGTGGGTCAGGCGAGGCCACCAAAAGCTAAGTGTCCTACAGACTGGATCTCAGAAGGGAGGGATGAGGCACAGAGGGAGAGGGATAACAGAGCCTCTAAGGCCACTCTGTCCCTGGAGAGCTGCTACCTGAGAACAGACCACAGCAAGACAGCTGGGGTCCGGAGATGCCTGCATTGGGCTTCCTCAGCCTCCCCACAGCTAAGCAAGACCTGAATGGTGGTAGTCCCTGCCTGCCCCAGCCTGGGCACACTAGTTCCTATCCTCCAACGTGGGCTGGGCTTCAGGGCATCAAGGCATCAAATGAAGTGGGCACGGACAGCCATCTGTGAGCAGGGGTCAGTGTGGGCTTGGGACCTGTGTCACACCACCTCTCCCATCCATGGAAATTGCTTTGTCTTTTTTTTCTTTTCTGAGAAACAGATACAGAGTACAGAAAAATCAAGACAATAACAATGAAGTAAAATGAAGAAAAAAAAAAAAACAAAAAACCACAGGTTGCCGATAACCCTGACCACAGAGAGCCCTGCTTATCACCAATATGTGAGTTTCTTTTCTATTTCTTACTTAGGGCATATGCACAATTTTTTGTTTTATTTGAAAAATAAGAGTGTATAGATATGACCCATTCTCTCCTATCATGGAATTGTTCTGTGTTAATAAGTCATGGTCTCCTTCTTTGTTTTTTTGGATGGATTTTTATTTTATTTATTTTATTTTTATGTGGTGCTGAGAGCAAACCCAGTGCCTCATACATGCTAGGCAAGGGCTCTACCACTGAGCCACCACCCCTGCCCCTGCCTAGCCCTTTTTTGTATTGTATTTTGAGACGGGGGTCTCACTGAGTTGCTTAGGGCCTAAGTTGTTGAGGCTGGCTTTGAACTCACAATCCTCCTGCCTCAGCTTCCCAAGACACTGGGACTACAGGCATGTGCCCACTGCATCAGGCAACTTTACGCCCTTCAGAGCAGGGCCATGGCCATCATCTTTGTCCATGTGGCATTGGTCAGTAGGGGGCTACTGCCTTAGGTAATATCCTGAGAAGTGGGATTGCAGGTCAAGGGATGTGAATACGTCCATCTAGATGAGGATGTGTATATCAGCACCTTGGCCTTCAGGAAGAAAAGTGACATCCCAGTGTGACACTTAAGTGTCTTCAGGGTGGGGACCTTGTCTTATGTTCCCTGTGGAACCTAAGTCTGTGGACCCTGCTTAGGAGAAGTTTCCCAGGGTTGGTGGGCTAGGGCATTTGTCCAGTCCTGAGGTCCCCAGATGTAGGTGCGGCAGGAGGGACAATGGAATCCCCTGCCACTTCTAAGATATTTCTTCAGGAATGGGAGAGCACAGGGACAAGGACATAGTCTGTAACCAATGAGACCCTGAGGACAGCCCTCAGTGCTTTACAGCATAGGACCATGGTCCTGCTCACAAGTATGTATGGTCCTTTTGAAAAAAAAATTAAAATTTTTATTATGCCAAAATATACATCACACAAAACTGACCGCCTTAACCATTTTTCAGTGTCTAGTAGTGTCAGGTACATTCA